TCAGTGGGGACAGTCAGTGGGGACGCAGACAAAAAATAATCTATGACAAGAAAGAAGGGAAAATGTGAAATGCAGGCATATAGGCGTTTTAGAATATAAACATTACCAGAAACAGTTTGTTTCTGTTTGTTTCAAATTGTTTGTCTTTGTTTTATGACCATTATGTTGTCATCAACAGAAGAACAGAAATCAACATTTACATAAATGTCATGACATTTCTATAAATTTGATCTCTTTTCCTCTGTCTAGTATGTAAAATCGGAGAAAAGGTACCCCATTATCTAGTTTGCATTACAATTTCAAATTATATGCCATACATTTGATAATAGGGCAGTAATACCAGTGTTATTAAACTTGATAACAATATTTTGATATGTTTAAAAATTTCATTCATTTTAAGTCCATATATGATTGGATTTAAAAGAGGATGGAATAAAATTGATTGAAACGTCAATGTCCAACGAAGAGTTTTGGATAGATCAGAATCCAGTCGAACTATAATTATATCAAGGAAAATAAAACATGAAAAGTTGATTAACACCAGCAGGTGGGGTAAACATGTCTTTACAGCTTTTTTCCTCACTTCTCTACAACAATGGTAAGATGTTCTAAGAATATTGATGTATGTAAAAGGTATGAAAAGCAAAGGTAGAAGGGCAATGTTTATCAACATGACCATACCATATATAGATATTGCGACCGAGGGCACACACTGAAGCTTGTAAAGTGAATTGTTACAAAAAATTCCTGTCAGAGAAAAGCTACAGAGTTTGACATTTGAATACAACACACCCATCACTGAGGTTTCAAAAGCAGGTATACGCCAAGCTAAAATAAGACATACATATATAGTTATTCTATTCATAGTAACTGGATATTGCAGGGATTTATATATAGACACATACCTGTCATATGCCATTGCTGCCAACAGTAAAAAGTCTGAACCAACCGAGGTGTAATATGATAAACCTTGGAAAAGACAGAGTAGATATAATATCATCTGTTTTTCAGACAAAACGTATGGTTACGGTGTAACCTTGGTTCTCTTAGTGAGAGACTATCTCTCCACACCGTTACATATTCCATATGTACGGGGGTACGACCCACCTTGGTTGTGGCGTGTGGATATTTCTTTAAGACACTCCAGGAAGCCCGGCTACGCCCTACAGCTTACGTATAAAACAGCTGTGCAGACGTGACACCGGTGATCGTTTGATCGCAACGCGTCTCCGAGTGGCCTCACGGTGGAGAAATAGTCTGTCACTAAGAGAACCAAGGTTACACCGTAGCCGTACGTTCTCTAGCATATCCAGACTATCACTCCACTCCGTTACATATTCCATATGTACGGGGTAACTCTGTAAGACACCCCGCGAGGAGACAGTTCAACCAAACCGCCGAGAGTGAAAACCAAAGAACTATGTACAAATACACATATGTACACACCACCCCAGTCAGGGCCAAGCCAGACGCGAAGGACGAGCCAGGGGGTGGAGGCAGCAGTCTGCAGATGCCAGACTGGCCTGAACCGGTCCTGCATCCTGCATCCTGCAGGACCGGCCAGCAAGTGATCGGCCGCACAAGGTCATCCCGGGAACCGCGAGGCAGATAGCCAGGGAACGCACCACACCGAACCGCCAAGTAACAGCCCGCTGGTCGCATAGGGCTACAACATGCGGGCAATGCCAGACAGAGAGTTAGCACTACAGCTGGAGAACTCTTACTCGCCACAGCGAGGTCCGACTGGCGTGTACGCCGGCGAAGC